GATCTTGAATTGATTTCTGTTCTCCTAAAGCAATTGAGCTAAATGTCAAGGGTAAACGGGACTTGCGTCAATTTCTCATCGACTACGTCGCAGTTGAGACACTAGAAGGTGACTACCGGTACCCAGTACCAGGTCAAGGTCTACAGAGAGCAAAGAAGGGTGTCCTTTTTAGATCTTTCCCTCCGGTTATCCGAATTCGCCTTCTGAGATCTATATATGATGTGGACTCCAACATGATGATTCAGGTGAGACCCTATTCCCCCTAGTTTGAACAATCTGACCATATCTTCATACGATCTAGTGTAAAGATCGCTTTTCCTTTCCCTCGGAAGTAGACATGGAAGAATTCCTCGACCCCAGCGCGGACCATTCCGAGTCTCATGTTTATCAGCTACATGCTGTGATCGTACACTCTGGAGAACCCCAAGGTGGTCACTACTACGCTTTCATTCGACCCAACCCAAGGACCCGTTGGTTGAAATTTGATGGGGAACTCGTCATACCAGCCTCGGAAAGAGAGGTCTTTGACGACAACTATGGGAGTGAATTACAGGCACACCAGGAGCACACTCGGAGCACTCATGGGCGAAGAGATCACACTAAGGAGTTTACTAGTGCTTATGCGCTCGTCTATATTCGGAAGAGTAGGCATGATGCGATTCTCAAACCTCTTACCGAGAATGATCGACCTCAGTATTTCGGTGAGTATCTGATTCGGTTCCAACTTGTGTCTATGGCGGTGAATTGATCGGGTTACAGAGACATTGGCAGAAGATGCGCAAGTTAGGGCGAGGCGGAGAGAAAGTGAGGGACAGAGAAAGGATGTGACCGTCAAAGTATGCATTTAGGTTTCCCTCCGATTCCAAGGTTTCCCCAACTTAGTCGTCTCTCTAGGTTGTTACCGAACAGTCCTTTCGTCAACATCAAGGATTTGACATAGTTACTTTGGGAGGCACAGACGACCCACCTCCTGCACTTCTCACATTTCGTGTCCCACAGCAGGAGTCTTATTACAATATGGTATCCCGCATAGTGGAAGAAATAAAGGTGCCAAGAAATAGAATTCGCCTTTGGGATATTATTAAACGTCAAAACAAGTCTATACGGCCTAATCAGGCTCTCACGGAATTGCGTTCTTCTCTGAGTATGTCTCATAGGCTGCAGAAAACGAGTCTGCTAACCATATGTATAGCCATCGGCTCCAAGTATTCCAAGACCTACTATGGGGAGGTCTCATATCTCTTCTTAGACCTTCTCTCTGAACCAAGGGAGTCTGAATCTTCGGAAGACCAAGATACGATCATGATTTTTCTTAAATATTTCGACGCAAATAAGCAAGAGCTTTATGGAGTGGGAAACTTTCATGTCAAACGGGAGAACAAAGTCGAAAAACTATCCAGATTAGTCCGTAAGAAGATGGGATGGCCTCAAACTAGTCGCATTCAGATCCCTCTCGTCTTCTACGAAGAGATCCACGCAGGTCGGATAGAAAAGATGAAGCCGAAGGCAACGTTACTTCAGAGTGAGATCAGCAATGGCGATATCATTTGTTTCCAGGTGGAACTGAATGTAGAAGAGTGAGTCCTAGTGGTTATGGCATGTCTCGCAGCACGACGAGAGACCTGATCTCCCCGCAGGATCGCGGCTCTCGCGGCCAAATGGTATGCAACGACACCAATAGCGTTCTACAAGATCTTAGAAGATCGTGAGTTGTATACTCTATACAAATTTGAGGCTGATAATGACCTCCCAATGAGGCCTTGATGGTACATCTGTATCTACGCCATAGTGTTTGGAACCTTAAGCTACTAATTGCGCTGAACAGCCAATTGTAGTGCATCTACAACTCACCTCGCGCCTAACGACCCTCGCTGAAGGGGATCAATGCCTGGTTGGGTATTGAGTGCCTCAATATATACACACAATAGAATTACTATTCGTTCGGGTCATACCAATTGTGATCTCTTTTCTTCAGGATAACCAGATCTAGGATATTTCTACAACGAGACAAGCAGGAGCAAGTATACGAGCTACAATTATAAGACCAAGGAGT